TTCTTCCTCTTCCTCTTCTTCTTCTTCTTCTTCTTCCTCTTCCTCTTCTTCCTGTTGTCTCTCCATCCTGGCTATGGGCAAAGTTTAGCTCTAGACTTATGATTCTGAAAAGAGCCTTTTGCATACCGACAACACTAAGCTTTGTAGCTTCTGTGACATTCCTCGTATGCCTGCCCCATTCTCTCTGGTTTCAGATTTTGCCTAACGTTCTTTTGAACACCGGGACACAACCCCAGTCACAAAGAAAACAGGATCTGGGATTGCATGGGAGATTTTGCTCAAGTCTAAAGGATTGCAAGCATGGCAAAGTCTACAAGCAATGGAATGGGGCGTATGCACAGGTGCAGTGTAAAAATAGGATTCAGCACCTACCATCCCCTCACTTCAAAGCACTCATGGGTTCAGGTTAAAGCCTGAACAGGATTTCTGATTTTAAACCATAGGAACTAATTTAACTTTAAAAAAGGCTTACAAATTACTTTTAGAGAAGGCCTGAACTAGCAGCTGGCTATTCAGAACATTGCTTGCTCTGCTGTAACACTTTCTGATTGATTCTAACCAAGTTCATAGAAACTTAGCCATAGGTGCATGTAAGTATATGAAACAATCTTCCATAAATATTTCCATACTTGACCTACAATTTAACATCTATTTTCTCAGGGTAACGAATATGCATTTGGAATGTAGTCTTCTTTGATACCTAACTCCTAATGCATTATGCTGTTTCCACACATGTACACACCTATATTCAGGACTCCAGTAAGCAGATATTCTATTCATAATTAACCTTCTCTTGGGCTTTGAACAGCCTAACCATGATGAGGAAAACAGTTAAAGTTAGGGTTACGATATTTCAATTTCTGAAAAAGAGTACCTTGGAAGAAAAGGTGGTTTAACTGGAAACCCTTTATTGACTTTTTGCTGCAAATGGAAAAAATGAACTGGTGATTTCTGGAGTTACTGATTAATAATGGTTGAATATGGAGAGAAGGGAACCATGTTATGCAATTTAGAAGGGGGGAAGTAGTCTCAAGGAAGTCTACAACTGCTGTAAAAAAGATGAGAAGTTGCTTCAAGTGTTTTTTTTTTTCCTTTTTCTTTCTCTTCACTTTCTATTGTTTCCAATACTTTTTCTTTCTTTTTTCTATATTATTTCATGTTTATCATTTAACTTCGTAAAAACTTTTTATAAAAATTATAAGAAAAAAAGGAAGAGGGTGGTTTACAGAACTGACTATGAGTAGCAGCCCCCCCCCCACACACAATTAGATTTGTTCCTCTTCTACATTGAAAATGCAAGTCTCATTAAATCAGTTACCCAGAGGTTACTGGATCTGAACCAGAGTCTCAAAATCAAAAGTCTTTGCCACTGAAACCTATGTTTCCTATATAAAATTACAAGTCTCTACCACCTAAAGCAATGTTTGTGGTGTGAAATCACAAGCTGAAATCATGGTTTGCTGTATGAAATTATAGGTCTCTGCTATTACACCAGTGTTTTCAGCATGAATCAAAACTCTGTGCCATTTAACAGTTTAAATGAGTTTTCTCTCTCAACAAAATTCTATCTCAAAACAAAGCAATCAAAAACAGAATAAGCACTGAAAGCAGCCCAAACCTGGGTAGCATCTTCTGATGTCTCATCAGCAGGAGTACTTCTATCTATAGAACTGCTAGCCACACCCCTCTCCCTTTACGCACCAATCAGAAAGCACTTTCCCAGAGACTATAGCTGGCATTACTATTTTCTCTTGAATGGTCCATGGGCTCCAGTCTCAGACATTTCAATATATTTTTAATTCCCTGAGGGATGGATCTTGGCTAGCAAAAAGAAAGTGTGTCCAAACTCTGGATGTATGGTAGCCTTAGTCATATTTACTAAGTTCTCTTATTATTACTATCTGTGGTCATCATTGCAGCAATCTGACCCCTCCTTTTGTCATCCCGTATTGTTGGGAGGAGGAGGTCGTCTAAAAAATGGAGATGAGGTCCTTCATCTGACTAGGACCATCCAATGCTATCAGTCATTAGAGGAAAGAGATGTACCTCAGTTATCGCCAGTTGCCATTTTTTTATTTTTTTACATACAGGTTTGAAACATCCAAAATGTCCCAGTAGAAGAGAATATATGCGTCCAAAATGTGTCATTTGGTCTAGTGTGAACCTCTGTCCCCACTTGCATCAGATGTTAATTATCGTTTCTATCCATGCTTACATTTGAAAACTTAATTTCCAAATGTCCTCAGAATGGACCATTTGCTGCTTCAGCTATGAAGACTATGTCTAACCAGCCTTACTTCACTTGGAATGTGTAGGTTTCTAGTAGCGAACTGCCACAGTGATCTGGGAACAGATCTTGTAATTTTAATGAATAGTGAAGTTTGTTGGCAAGCATCATATGATACTTTTACTGTGCTTGCACTGTAGGACAACATGGCATGACCTTAATTGCTCACCTTAGACCAGTGTTGTCCAAACTTGGCCACTTTAAGATGAGTGGACTTTAAGTGAGTGGACTTGGCCACTTTAAGATGAGTGGACTTTAAGATGAGTGGACTTCAACTCCCAGAATTCCCCAGCCAGCATGGCTGG